CCATCTAGTTAGCATATCTGAAGCATAGGTATTTCTTTTGTGGAATTGCTTTTTAAAGTGGTTTTTCACTTCTTCTAGTACTTCTTCTTTCTAGTTCACTAGTACTATATCTGAGTCATCTTCTTTAATGATTCTATCTATGACTACTCATTTTGAAGATCTTTCAAGCAAGCTACTTATCATATGTTTAAGTTCTCCTTGTATTGCTTCACAGCGATGTTTAACTGCTATATTAATTTCTTTAAGATCTTCTTTCTTTCTTGCTTACTGAGCTTTTAAATATATAATCTTCTACTACATCTTTAGCTCTTCCTATTTTTTTTTGGTCTATATAGTTTCAGAGAGCTCTTCTATTTCTGTTTCATACAGGCTATTTATTCTTGCTATTTTTACATTCATTAAGTGCTTGTCTGTGCTATTAATATTCTGACCCATTTTTGAAGAGCATTGTTAACACATGCCTTCAATTATTTTCAGGTCTTTTTTAATAATTCTGCTCTCTTTCTTTTTTTCTGTAACAGGTTTTCCTACTATAGACTTCTTTCTTAGAAGAGTTGATCTTGTATATTTGATTATGCTTGTTGTGATTATGTCCTACAAGTTATCTTTGTTTAGTGACTCTAGATAAGCTAGATCATGCTCATCTTTTATAATGTTCAGCTTCTTCTTGAGTAAGCTGTCTAGTTTTGTTTTATAGTCCTCATAGTTTTCTTCTGTTACTTTGTTAAGGAGGAATGACCATCTTTTCCCTTTTAGTCTTTTTTTCCTAGCCAAAGATCTAGTTTTCTTCTTTATGCCTGTTAGCATTTTTGCGATTACAATAGTATGGTTACTATTTGTGACTATATCTGCTTCTAGTATATTGCAATAGGTAAAACCTTGATCTAAATCTTTGGATACTCAGATGTAATTGATTCTGGATTTTACTTAGTCATTTTCTCTTGTAAATTTTCTTTCATTCGAGTGTAATTTTCTGAATGTATCAATCATATTAGAGTTTTCAAGCCAGTTTAGGAGTAGGAGTTTCTGAGCTCGCCTAGAGTTTTCTCTATTCTGATCAAGCTCTCTGCATTGAATATCATTAAAGTCTCCTAGTATTATGACTTTTGTGACTTTTTCTTTATTTTGACATTCAAATGTTCTTTTAATGACCTGTTGCTGGATATCTTTTCTGATCTTAGGATTATTGTGTGATATATATATTACTAAGACTAGCACTTTATGCCTTCTGAATACAGAAAGTACTTCTAGGTAGTACACATTTCTTCTTTTTACTTGGCTTAATTGTCTTTCCTATTTTTTACAGATTATTAGACTAACACCAGAGCCTTTCTTCTTGTTTTCTTCTGCATCAAACTATATACCTATATAATTATCTTGATCTCTTAAATTAAAATTGTTTTGTCTACCTGTTGTATTTGTTTCATTGATTTCAATCATATCAATATTTTCTTTGCTTGCCTATTCTAATAATAATTCCAATTTCGTAAAGTTTTCTTTTATCCTATTAATATTGTGTGATACTACTTTTAATATTTGAAAGTCTTCTACTACAACTTCTTCTTCCCTCCTTTTAAAGAGACTCTCTGTGTTGAGACAGTCAGCTCTACTGTCTATTTCCATTAATTCAACTAGTATACCTATTAGGAGCGATTTGGCGCCTCCCACTCCATATGTTAAATTTTCTCTTCGAGGCTTCTTATGAGTTGTAGTATATAGTCATAAGTATTTTCTAGGTCTGAGATCTGTTTTTGAGTTGTCAATATACTGCTAGATGCTTCATAATTGACTTCTCTTTTTTTGCCTTCTCGTATTTCTCTTCTTTTTTTCTCAGAGCAAGCACTTGTCTGTGTAGATTTCCCTGCTCACTCTATACTACTTGTTGTTTTTACTTCGTTTGGAGTAAGATTTCTACAAATTTCTTGGTTTTGTTTCATACTTCTTCTTGTTTTGAAACTTCTTAAACTATTTCTTCTGTGAGCTCCTAGCTTTTTACTGTCTGTATTTTTTTTGTTTTTTAAATCTGCTTTATATCCTGTTGAGTTTGCTCATCTTAACTTGTTGTCATAATAAGACAGCGAAAATTTGGAACAATTTAATATGTCTTCTTCCTTTTCAAAGTAAACTGTTGCACTTCTCATATTGTTGTTATTAGAGTTTTTGAAAATATGTAGTGCCTTAGCTTCTGATCTTTTTATTTGTCTCCACAAGAGTATTTCATTTGTGTTCTCTGACAGGTCTAGTATCCTCTTGCTAAATCTATTTCTTGTGCGGAGTAAAGAGAAATTATTAGTACCTGTTAAAATTCTTACCAGTATTTTATTTGCAAATAGCAGGTACCAGATCTCACTTATTTTTTTTTTGTCAAAGGTGCCTGATTTAAACTCTACTTCTGCTCTTGTTTTGTTTGAAGTACTTTTGATCATTTCAATATGCTCTGCTTTTCCTAGAAAGTGAACTGTTTTGAAAACCTATGTTCTTCTGACTCAAACTAGTAAGTCCCAAACTATAATTTTGTTGATTTCCTCTGTTAGGTTTAAATTTTTGTTAGCTTAATATGTTGTAGTTTCTTTCTTTTTAGAAAGATCTTGTTCATATATATTGATTTTTGCTTTTTCTCCTCTTCTTGCGAAAACTTCTTTAAGTTCTTTTTCTGCTTGCTTTTCTTTTTTACTTTTTGTTTCTTGGCCCTCTTGAGTTGAGTTTCCTATATCTTGGTTTTCTGCTATTTTATCCAATACTTCTTGCTCCTCGTTTTCTTCTAAAAGGAGGTTGGCTTGTTCGTATTCTTCTTTCTTGTTTTCCAATTTTTCTTTTGCTTCTTCGTAGCCTTTAATACAGTCAAAAGTCACTATGCACCAAAGATTGCCATGTTCAAACTTTTCTGAAATTTCCTTCAAATGCATATTTCTTCCTATTGACTATCTAAGTGATCTTTCTCTATATTTCTCATTGTTTCCTAAGACTTTGATAGCTGCTACTTTAGCTCTTATTGTTCCTTTTCTTTTGTACCTATCCTTGTTTAGTGCCTAAATGCTTCTTTCTAATGATGAATCTGATTCTGCAAGGAGTACATCGTCTTCTGATTTCTCTAAAGTAATATATTGTTGTTCTGTATTTGTTATACTGATTTCCTCTTCTTTAGTCTCTTGAACTTCTTCTATTTAGCTTAGTAGTTCTTCGATTTTTCTATCTTCTGGTAGTTAAATTCTTTCTACTTCCATTTTTGAGTTTGTCCTACTACTATTTGCACTACCTGAATCTGATTGGTAAATCATCTCTATATCTGATTTGCCTTCTTGTACTCTTAATTTGTTATTTGCTATTACTATGTAGTTGACTTCTTGACCCAGTATGCTCTTTACTATATCGATTCTTTCAGTCATTGCTGCTCTTTCTATAACTTTTTTCTATTCTCTGGCTACAGTTACTATACTACTATCTACTTCTAATATTTCTGCTATCATCTTATTTATGTAATCTTTTAGACCCATTACTGATCTGCTACCTTCTGCTATTATTTCTTTACCGTATTCTTTGGTCACTACTTCTATGAGTCTGATTGCTTTCTTTTTGTTCCACATATTTACCTAATTTGATCTATATTTACTAGCTCTGTCTATACTCTATATTTTGTTTGTTGATTATTCTCTTTGTAGAGGTTCTTTAGATTCTGCTTCTAGAAGTGACTTCACTTTTTTTTAAAAATTTTCTGTGATTTTGCCTAGTTTGCCTATAAACTGTCTGATTCTAGTCTTGCGTGATTTGTCCTTGCTTTTTAACATGTGACACATATTTCAATAATATGATTGTTTGTTTATTTGCTTTGCACATGTTTGTGTTATGTAATTGATCTGCATTTCAGAGTGTTTTGGGATTCTCAGTTTTGTTCGCAAAAAAAAAAATTTTGTTTTGTAATAATTTTTGTTAAAACTTCTTCTAGGTTACTTTTTAGTTTGAGTTTTTCTACACTTCTACTTCTCTATATGTAATTTTGCTTTTTGTATCTCTTTTCTTAGTATGCTAAAGGGTGTTAATTAGTGAGTTTGATAGTTTTTCTATGTAGTAACCTTTAGCTCGATTTTGTGACCAGATGATCTATGGAGAGAGTTGTTTTGTTTATTTATTTATTATTATTATTATTATTATAATATATATTGTATATATTTACTTTTTTTTAGAAAATAAATGAAAAACTAGAAAGTATTTTTTTTTTTATATTATTTAAAATTTATATTTACTTATTTATTAGTATAATTTTTTTTATAGGAAATAATTGAATCTTCATTGCCTATATCAATTGCAGATAAAATTGAAAATAATAAGAATAAAACTAGTGAGGATAAGACAAGTAATAATAAAGAATCAGAATTTGCACTTAGTTACAAATTATTCATAAAATTATCAGATAGACTTCATTACCTGCAAAATGGTTTGAAGAATCAGTTACAACTATAGATGAATTTTTTTTATCTATTCATAATAAAGTTATTTCATTAACTAAAAATACTAATATTTTGCCAAATAATTATTATATAACTTTTAAAATGCAAAGAGAAGCAGGTGCTAGCACTCAATTAGTTGATGCATAAGATTTTATCAAGTTTAAAGCTGAATATTCAAAACTAGCTACAAGAAAAAGTGATATTGGGGTTTATATTATTGTTACATAATCTTTTGTTTCTCAAAATAAACAAAAAAAGAAAGTATGTATATATATTTAATAATAATAATAATATTATTAAATAGAGCTGTATATATTATAATACATTTAAATTAATTAAAACTAAATTTTATATGTAGGAGTCAAATTTGAGTAGTGTTGAAGATAATAAAAGACCAAATAATATGAAAAAAATTAATCAAATTCCAAGTATTTCATCTTTATTATCATATAATAAAGATGTTGCTAAAAATGTAACAAATATCTGAAATATATATCATTGCAACATATATAATCAGCCTTGTTTGAACAAAGAAAATCATAAAGAATTACATGTTTAAATAAATTTTGCAATGCTTTCTATATAGTCATCAGATATGATATATTTGTTAGACTAAGACTTTAAATTTATATATTACAATTTATTTATTTTATATATTTATTTTTAGACTAAAAGATTGGTAACAATTGAAAAGTTTCTATACATCCACTTTTTTTTCATTCTATTATATTATTCAAAAAGCTTTCGTGAGTTACTTCATTGAAGAAAATTTATTATCTTCTTCAAATCCACAGCTACCACAACTATCTCAACTTCAACTAAATACAGAGCTACCACTACTATCTCAACCAAATACATAATTACCACTATTATTTCAACCAAATACATAGCTATTACTATTATCTCAGCCAAATACATAGTCATTACTACTATTTCGACCAAATATACAACTACCACTATCATCTTAACTGATTCTATTATCACTTTCATTATTAAGTTCACAACTACCATCACAATCTCAACCAATTTTATCACTATCTTCATACTTGCAAATACAAATACCATTAAATTTATCATCACAAGTTCGAGCACTATTATTTTTATCACCACTACAAGCACAAGCATATAATTGGTCTCAATTATTTCAATTGCATCAACTATTGTTTGCATATCTATATTATCTATATTAAGCTTTTCAACTTAATCCATATATCTCTTCTATTTTACCTACTATAACAGAGTTTTTAAAGGAAATCGATAAAAAAGAAGAAACAGGTTATTATTATCAGGATTTTTTAGAAAATTTTGAAGCATAATGAATTTCAGTAAAACATATACAAGGATTATCAGATGAAAAGTTTGATCAATGTGGAGTAAAAACTATTAGAGTATGAGAAACTATACATAAATATGCCAAAAAATATCAAATATCAAATAGATATAATTTTTAATAGTATAAAGTAAATAAAAATGTTTAGTAATAATAATGTATTTAAAACAATATATACATTTTCTGCAATTTGAACTTATCTGCTAAAAAAAAATAAAAAAATAAAAGTAAAAAATATTGAAAATTCAAAGTTTTTTTTATTTTTAAATTTTATTTATATTATTAATATTTTTAGATTTTGATTTTTTTATATTTTCAATATAGATTTTAATAGGCAATTTTTATTTATATCTAAAGACTCTTACAAAAATTTGCAATCTCAATACTAGCTAAACTAAATTTTTACAATAATAAAAAAGTATATCTCATATATGTATATTATTTATTATATGTTTTAGCTTCTTGCTATTTTTTTTTATCTAACTATTTTATTTTTTTTTTTAAGAAAAAAAATCAAATTTAATCATAAGTATTATTTGTATCCTGAAGTCTTAATAAGTTTTTTGCTACTTCAAGTCCAATCTGTGTATATGCGACTAATAATAGATATATTGGATCATTTGAATTCTCAACAAACTCATAATTTCATCGTAAATATCTTTTGATTAAGGAAAATGCTTCTTCAATTGGATTAAGGTCTGGTGAGTATGGAGGAAGAAATTCTATATGTACTTCAAAAGTATATAGATATTCACATAATCCTTTATTATGA